AAACTTATTGGAACTTTGTAACACCTTATCAAACTTATTATACCTTATTGAACTACTCAAACCTTACTAAACTTATTTGAACTTATTGTTCCATATTGGACCTTATTAGTACGGGTATCCATCTTTCGGATTAAAATTCGAAATTTAATCAAATCAAAACTGAATTATTAATTCGGATCGGATCCGAACTTTAAATCGAATTGGATCAGATTGAATTTTTTTAAAATTCGGACGTTCGAATTAGATTGGATTGACCTTGTTTGAATAAAAAAACGAAATAAATTAAATATGAAATAGTTTGTTTATGAATAAGTATTGTTAATATAATTATGCTAAACTATGATTATAATTATTACTATTTATCATGTAACCTACCTACGTTTTCAATACTTCTATTAATCGTGTACAACTATACTTTTAATAATTAATTTTTATTATTGCATTTTAATTTTTATTTTCGCATTAGGCCCAAAATATTTGTAACGTATTTTAATTTTCACTCTCGTATCGTATCCAAATGACCGAATTTTAAATCGGTTTGAATCAGAGTGGATTTGGTGAGGAATTCATATTGGGTTGGATTTTATAATTAAAATCAAAATTTATTTCGGAGCGGATTTGATTTGGGCTAAATTCAAACCAAAAATCGAATGGACACCCCTACTAATTAGACCTTATTATTAGACTTGATTAGAATTTATTAAAATTTATTAGACCTTATTTAACTTAATGTAACTTATTAGATCTTATTTAACTTATTGGACCTTATTATAGCTGATCTGAACTTATTAGACCTAAAACTTATTTTTATAAGGTGAAGAGAACAAACCCTTAGTGAATGACGGTGTTCAATTGAAATAGTTTTAAATTTGACCGCCTATAAAAATATCTCACTTTGATTAATATATTTAAGATTGACCGCCCACTTGATTATACTCATAACAACCTTTTAACTCCATTTTAAGTGTATTACGTAGTATAACACGTGAGGTTCAAATTTCTTAAATAGCGTGATAAAGTGTGTATTGCAACTATAAAGAAAAGGATGAAGTAATACTTATATATTCAAATATAAGATGCACCCAACTTATAATAAATATAACCCATGTTTATGGATATGAATCGAGCAATACAAAAACGATTATAAATTAATTACCAAATGATTAATATACATAGTTCACTTTAGTGGATGTGTTTTGAATATGATGAATTTAATACATGTATGATTTCAAACCAAACTTAAATAAATGAAAATTAACTTAGTAATTAGTAGCATAGAATTTATATAAGGAATACTTACAATTTACCTCTCTGTTAATACTTATTATTATTATTATTATTATTTTTTTAAAAAAAAAACCCTTTCAATTTGAACTCCGTGGTAATAAAACGTACAATTATAAGTTACTAAACGAATAACACACTTTTTAAAAAAAAAATTTAAACAATAGAAGAAATAGACTAGAATTAACATATCAAATAGAAAAAATCATTACAATCTATAAAAGCAACTGATACATCTATTAACTAATCCATTTAGAAAGTGATGCACATAACATAACAAGTATTGTAAAAAACTTCTTGCTAAAACATATTCTTGTTGAAACACATAATTAAATTAAACAACAACATACAATACCATTATCCTAACATTTATAACCCAATAAAATTTTATCTCTAAACCCTTAACCTAACCCTAAGAACATTTATATGCAACAATAATCATCATAATATATTAATAAGCGTCCTATTAACATTTAAGGAATCATATTGTTGTTAAAAGAATCATCCAATATATTTGACATAAATATAAATAGTACAAATAAATAAATAATACAATAACATACGTGCTGATATTCCTTGGTGTAGTTGGTGAATGCTTTCCTATTATGCATGAGTGATCCGTGTTCGAATCCAAACTACACTTAGACTTTAAATACTAATGATACCAATTATCAATAAAACAATTTGAGTCATGATTGATTTAAATTCAACGTACCAATTATTATTATTTTTGTTTGCATTTTATTTTTCATTCGCCTATTAGCCATAAATAGTAATGTCCGAATAAAAATTTGTACTTTTACATATATACTAAGGTTACCAATCGTCAATAAAACAATTCGAGGTCTGATTTCTTTAAATCCGAAATTATGAGACTCTCACTACAAAACCAAAATCTTTCCGTATTTTCAAGCATCAAATTCCATAAAACAACATCTTTTCAAATTTAAACAGCATCAAAATGATATTATCAACAGAATCAATATAAATATTTGCTTACTGATTCATATCTAATTCATATAAATACAAATTTTTTCTCAAAGGCATACATATGGCAAAACCTTGTAAATTCTTCACCGCTTGCAAAATACATATCCACAACCGGAGTACGGTTGGCTTGTTCTTCTTCGTTTGACCGATTATGAGAATCATGGTCATTTATATTGTTATTAACCTCAACCTCAACCACTCTTCATTACCAATGTTATTAACCTCAGCTTCTTCATTAAGATCGAATGACATTGCTGCTTCTTCTTTTGTTACATCGTTCGATTCTGCATCTCTAACTGAGCTAATCATATCGTTTATCACTTCATTAAGATCAATGTTCAAACAAGGGGACAAGTCTTCGCTTTCCATTCACTGCCACAATGTCAAACACACTACTGTATTTTATTTCAGATTCTACAAAATAAAAAAAGATACTATAAAATTATATTTTAATTTAATATTGAAAAAATGATCCTACGTATAAAAAACATTTCCTATAAAATTATTGACAACAAATAAACCTCGATTCCATTTAACAATTGCTTCCATTACAATGGAACCCAGAAAACTCCTTCAATTAAATAAAATCTCACAAGAAACAAAACCAAAGACAACATACAAATCAATTTAATAATCAAACGAATAACCCTTTCAATTACATCTTTACATAAACCTAATTTTTACCCAAAAATCATTTACTTCAAAATCATACAATCAAAACCCTAAATTATCATTATCATATAATTAGGAATTTCAAACGAATTAATTAAACAACTAACAAGATTACCTGTAAATACTAGTACGTGATTGACGAAATTTATGTCCACACTTTAATTTCTTCACAATTCGTTCCCTTAATCAAATTGGATGTGTTCTTCGCCAAGGAATTTTGGGGGAAAAGATGAAATTTTGGGGGAAAAGAGGGGAAGTTTTGATGATCAATTGGGAAATTAATGGTGTATTACCCATTAATTGAAGCATTAATTGTTGCCGCCTACCCAATACTTAGCCACCCATCTTCCTCACTTAGCGCCCAGGTTTCCCTCTTCTTTTTTATCCTTTCCCTCTTCTTTTTTTAGTTTCCATTATTACATTGATGAGTTGGCGTTTTTTTTTATTTTTTTGGTGTTTAGAGAGCCACAAGGGCGGGTGATGAGAATCGATCCTAGGATCACCTGGGACTGGGAGGGGAGCTCTAACCACTTGAGCTATCCCTCACTCTCTTGACGTTTTTTTATTAGTGGTGTACAAAAGGGCTTTGTACACTTAGTGTACCCCTACCCTTTTACAAACTTTCTTGAGCAACTATTGGGGCCTTGGGAGTATTAAAATGATAGTGGTCATAGATATTTTGGTCATTCAAAGGTGGAATAGATAATAATTATACTTTGTAAATAATTTCATGACCAAAATAATTTGGTCAGTCAATGGTCTTGCTCTAAAATTATTTATGGAATAAATCATGAGTTTTAATAATACATATAAATTAAAAATTAAAAAAAAAATCACACAGGTGCATTAATAATTATATATTTAACAAACAACCTCATGAATCTTTTCAAAACACAAAAATCGATCAAATTTAATTCATCAACCATTATGCTCATGTAAGACTTCTTCCCATAATGCACAAGCTGCTTAAAGGAGGAAAAACAATTTACTCAATTGCATTTTTTTTTTAGACAGTGGCTACAAAGAAACAAGCTATCCTCTCCTCATTTGTGCTGCAGCAACATGGGCTGGCTGAACTATTTCTCGTTGTACTTTGATGCAAAAGAAGAAATCTATCCTTCCTGCCATTGTTCTAATTTCTTCTGCTATGCTTCTTATCTGCAAGGGAGCTTTGTCTGGTGTTTGAATCGCCTTAACCACCCTTTCGCAATCTGTTTTGATGACTATTTCTCGTTGTACTCAATTGCATTGTCACTACTATAAATCTTTAACAACATGTGCCCTTTTACTTTAAGAGGAAATTTTAAATTTTAAATGACATGAGTAAATTAATATATAAATATATCTAATAATGGATAAATTATCTCAACAAATAGCTTATCTCACACTCCTATTTTGAAACAGTTTTCACTCTTCTTTATTTTGATTGTTTTATTAAACTAATTGACATACTATTAGAGTGAGGGATAGCTCAAGTGGTTAAAGCTTCTCTCTCAATCTCAAGAGATTTTGGGATCGATTCTCATCACCTATCGTTGTGGCTTTCTAAACACAAAAATAAACTAATTGACATATTATCATAAATGGTAAGAACTTGACCATCTGACCATCACTTTTTTAATTATGTATACTATGACCCATTAACTTTTCATACTCTCACTCTCACTCTCACATGTATATATTTTCAACATTAAAAAAATCGCTAATTTTACTTATGCTCTTTACGAAATATTAAAGAACTAATATATATAGTTCCCATTAATTAATTTCTTAAACTATAGACGTCCAAGAAAGTGTGTCAATTATTCTGAAACACAACATATAGCGTTAGCTTCAATATGTAAAATTGCATATTGGTTACCTTGTTCAAATAAGTTACAGAGTACTTTAACTATAGTGATAAGTTATTCCGATAAGTTATTCGATTTGGGACGATTTGGTTCGGAGTATATTTACGGAGTTCCATTTATCTAATTTTGGTTACTATTTAGGTCCAAGTCCACTATATCGACACCAACTCGGTTAATCGACCCGAGCCGTCATGGCTCATTGGACAAATCCGGCACCTTCCCAGACTAACCTGAACATCAATTTCAGTTCTTATTTTTACAACTGATCCCAACGCAAGTAAAACTTCAAAACAATGCCCAAAACTATGAACAAGCACACGAACTAAGAGGTCAATTGCCCAAGAAAGAAACCAAAAATCTCAAAAAAATTACAGAAAAATGGAAGAACAAATGTGCATAGATTGCTTAAAACATCGAATTCAATCAGATATTTCCGATAAATTATTCTTCTCTTACGCCTTCTCTGATTCCGCTCTTCCCTTAGCTTCTAGGGCTGTTGTTCAAGTAAAATTTCAAATTTCCAACAATTTCACCTTTTTTTTTTATTTATTAATTTTTGTTTTGGGTGCTAATTTTTTTTTTTGTAATTTGTGGTTTTATAGATGTCGAATTCAAGTGGGGAGGTATCATCTAAATTTATGCTGGTGTATTTACCTCGGCAAGAAGATGACTGCATCACTAAATACGTGTAATTCTCGATTCTGTACATTTTTATACATATATTAATGTGTTTTTGCCATTCGTCCAGAATTAATTGTTATGTCAATAGTGTAATTTGAACTAGTAATTTGATTGCGAATCAGGACGGAGTTAGTATGAAAGTTGGACGACAAAAAATATTAAGCATTTTTTCTTATCTAGTTATGCTTTACTGCTTTAGATGGTTGGATGATCATAATAACTTATGTTAAAGATTATACTTTGATAGCTATAAAATGTGGGATTTAACTTGAATGTGATCATGGGTTTTTGGCTATATCAATTGAATGTTGTAATAAGTTTGATGTTAGGTGAATTGGGCTTTTGTCAAAAGGAATTTATTTCTATTTTTTATCTTTGTTTTTGTGTGTCTGGGATACTCCCTTTGTCCCAGAATACTGCCTTTGTCCCAATATTTAATTTTGACCATTGATATATTTAAATATATATTAGTAAAAATTAAAAAAAGTTAATATTTGGAAAATATACATTAAAATGGATCCAATAACACATTACATACATTTGCTTTCATATATATAGAAAAAAAAATGGTCAAATTGAGGTGTGTGAGAACTGCAAAAAGTCATAACGATGCCAAGATTATGGGAGAGAGGGAGTATATTATAGTTATGATGAAAGAATTATTTCTATTTCTGTCTATACTCAAAAACTTTATTGGGTTGAAGGTTTGAATGGCTTGTGATGAAGGGAGTATATTATTGTTATGATGAAAGTAATAGGGTGCTTATTTTATATAGTACAAAGTAGAAGTAATATATTGTGTCTGTGTATGGAATGGAGCCTTTTTGTTTTGGGGGGTGGGTGGGTGGGGTGTGTTGATCTAGCTCAAGGGCTGATTCCCACTTAATGAGAAGCTTGGTGAAGGCATTGAAATTTACTTGGTTGATATATGATGCCCAAGCTATGGGTTTACTCATATTCTTGTCACAGCCAAACATTATTTTATTTTACTTATATTTTTTTTTCCTTGTATCTCATCTCATGTGAAGTCTTGATATAGGGATGATTGTATTTTGGATGACGGTGAATGCATTGAAAACGGAAACAATGATCAAAGTAATGACATAGAAGTCTCCGGCAACAACAGCTTTTCGCTGTCTTCTCCTATGTGGAAAATGTCCACCCCATTGTTAAGGACTGGAATGAAGACTGGAGTCTGCAGTCTTTATTGTGAGAACTCTTCTTGTCACTATTCTAGTAGGTTTTCTTGCTTAAGAACAATAACTGCAATTGCACCATGCGCTTTTGTTGGTCATTGTACCTTCTCTACATTTGAGAATATAGCTTCCAATTTTTCATCTGGATGGTTGGAAGATGACATGTTGTGTTCTGTCAGTGTCATGATTGAAGGTAAAGCAACATGTCGTGCTAGTCAAAATTTTCTTAGGTTACTTGGAATCCCTTCATTTAGTGATTATCAAGTCCCTGGTTGTTTGAGGCATCCAAATCTGGTACCAGTGTTGGGAATGCTAAAGGCGCCTGGATATACCATTGGAGTTTACCCTAAGGCTCCTCACACGCTGGAAAACATTCTCCACTACAGTCCTGAAGCATTGAATTCTGAGTGGCATACAAGATTTATGATATACCAGCTACTCTCAGCCCTCTGTTATATCCATGGTTTAGGGCTTACCCATGGCAACATCCGTCCCTCTACGGTGATGTTCTCAAGTTTTTCATGGACCTGGTTAAGCATATGTGATATACCTCATGTAAAGTATGTATTAGGTGAAGATGATGAAGAATCCTTGGCCTCACCCCTCATAGGAAAAAGTTGTTCCACTCCTGATTGTCTTTCTAAAAGCCTTTATGCTGATCTGAATCTTTCCTCATCAGTAGATTGGCCCACAGAATTTTATAAGTGGTGGAGGGGAGAGCTAAGTAACTTTGAGTATCTACTTGTCTTAAACAAACTAGCTGGAAGAAGATGGGGAGACCACACATTTCATACAGTAATGCCGTGGGTAATAGATTTCAGTGTCAAGCCTGATGAAAATTATGCTGTAGGGTGGAGGGATTTAAGCAAAAGCAAGTGGCGCCTGGCAAAAGGTGATGAACAGCTGGATTTTACATATTCAACATCTGAAATTCCACATCATGTTTCAGATGAGTGCCTTTCTGAATTGGCTGTTTGCAGCTACAAAGCAAGGAGGTTACCGCTGAGTGTCCTGCGTTTGGCTGTACGTGCAGTGTATGAACCTAATGAATATCCTTCCACTATGCAAAGACTATACCAATGGACTCCTGATGAGTGCATTCCAGAGTTTTATTGTGATCACCAAATCTTTTATTCTCTTCACCCTGGTATGAGTGATTTATCAGTGCCTTCATGGGCTGGAAGTCCGCAAGAGTTCATAAAATTTCATCGTGATGCACTTGAGAGTGAGCGGGTTTCACGTGAAATTCATAACTGGATTGATATCACCTTTGGATACAAAATGTCAGGTCAGCCAGCTGTAGCTGCCAAGAATGTCATGCTGCCGTCATCACAACCCACAACGCCAAGGCCAATAGGGCGTCGTCAACTATTTACTCAACCACACCCTGTTCGCTGGGGCAATACCAAGAGAAATAGAGTCAGTGCTAATGTTGGGGGGGCTGTCTCTATACATCATGAGAACTTAGTTGATAGCAAAAAACCTTTATTCGATGGAACTGATTACTTGAGAAAGATAGAAGAAGCTGCTGCATTTTGCCAACATTCCAGGCATTTACATCCCATATACTCAGAGAAAGTTGTGAAGAGTTTCTCTGCTGACCTAGAGTCCTCTAATCAGGATAGCAAGTGTCATGTAAGTGATGATGTTACTAAAGCAACTGATAACAAATTCAGCTTTTGTATGTTGCCTAAAGTGGATTCCAATAATATCCTTGAGTATCTTGAGGAAGATGATAGTTCTAGAGGATATCAAGAGTTGTTGCTTTGGGCTCAACAATCTTTCTGTCAGAACAAACTCTCAACATCTGTTGCAAAGGATATCTTTTCTCTGGGCTGTGTTGTTGCAGAAGTTTACTTGAGGAAGCCTCTATTTGATTCAGTTTCTTTATCCACATACGTGGACAGTGGTGCTTTACCTGGAATTTTGAGAGAACTTCCTCCACATGTGAAAATTTTTGTTGAAGCATGTGTCCAGAAGAATTGGAGAAGGTACACTTAATTTATGTTCTCAAATACAACTTAGAGCTAATTAGAGAATGACCTTATTGTCTCTCTCCGCTCTGCAAATCATTTATATTATTCTAGCGCAAATATCTCTTTTATTTATCTAATTGTCTTTTATTTTTTATTTTTCAGGAGGCCTTCTGCCAAGAGTCTTCTGGAGTCTCCATTCTTTCCTGTAACAGTCAAGTCCTCGTACATTTTTATTGCTCCCCTTCAGCTTTTGGCAAAGGATGGATCACGTCTACATTATGCTGCTAATTTTGCCAAGAAAGGGGCCTTGAGATCCATGGGGACGTTTGCTGCTGAAATATGTGCTACTTATTGCTTACCTCTAATGCAAAACTCTTTATCAGATGTTGAAGCTGAATGGGCTTGTGTACTTTTTAAAGAATTTCTAAGATGTCTGAAACCTGAAGCAATCAAGAGATTGGTGTTGCCTTCCATTCAGAAGATTTTACAGGCTAGTTGTATAATTTAGTTTATTTGATTTTGCAATTTTCCGGCATTTTATTCTTCTGCTACTGATATGCTTATTTCAGGCAACAGGCTATTCACATTTGAAAGTTTCCCTTCTGCAAGATTCATTTGTGCGTGAGGTATGGAACCACGTTGGGAAGCAAATATACCTTGAAACAATTCACCCTTTGATCATATCAAACCTGCTTAATTCTCCTCATAAAAACTCTGCATCTGCTGCGTCTGTGCTATTAATTGGGTCCAGTGAAGAGCTCGGTGTTCCTATTTCCATTCAGCAGGTTAGCTATAGGATCGTATTGCTAATCTTCTCATTTTATGGACATTTTATTATTTAGTTATGTAGAACTGAGCAATGGCTGGTTACTGCAGACAATCTTACCTCTGATGTCTTGTTTTGGCAAAGGACTTTGTGCTGATGGAATTAATGCTCTAGTTAGAATTGGTATAAAATTTTATTTAAACTTTGGAAAGAAGTGCTTGATTATGTTAACTGATAATGGTGCCTTGACTTCTGAGCTTGAGATGTCCTCTGATTTTCAGGTGCTGTTTTGGGTGAGAGTTTTATTGTCTCACAGATTCTTCCGTTGCTGAAAAATTTTGTTCGTTCCTGCGTTGATACATCTTTTATCAATAAGCCTGAGCCTGTGCAGAGTTGGAACTCTTTAGCTCTTGTTGATTGTCTCTTTGTGTTAGATGGTTTGATTGCATTGTTGCAGAAAGAAGTGGTGGTCAAGGAGTTGCTTGAAGTACTGGCCCTTTCTTTATAAGTACTTCTATGTTCTCTCTCAAATTTATTTTTCTTTCCTTATTAATCGTGTTTGCGTGCTAACATGCAGGGCCAAAGTTGCTTGTTTGTTGTGATTCTTATGCGAGGCAACCTGGAACTTCCAGTACTTCAGGTTTTTAATATGCAATTTTACTTCAATTCTAAGATTTTTGCACGAGCAGAATGGGAAGATAATGGTTTTGTGAGTGTTTTTAATGTCAGAGAGTGGCAAATTAGTTGTTTTTTGGAGATGAGAACCCAATAATCTTGTTTGTATAACAATTAAGGTTACCACTATACTATACTTGCAGCAGCTTTGATTGTCAAGGAATCTGAGAGCTAAAATGTTCGGTTAATTATCACGGCCTTATGTACAGATTATTTCATATGCATGAGGTTTTTGGAAATTAGGATCCTGTTAGAGAGGGACTTGAAAGTTTAGCATGGTACAAAGAAACATTGCATAGAGAGTGCTTGGCTATGTGGCACACAGCAATATTTCCTTGATAGTCATCCCTTGAACCCTACACAATCCCATACTGGATATGATACACCAATTTACTTCATAGCTTGTTGTGCCCATTGTTCTGTCACTATTCCTGTTTCCTTTTTTTACCCTGTCCCTGACTTGGTGCAACGTACATGCAAGGGCTTGAGTGGGGGGAAAAATCTGTTTTTCTGTATAATTTTCTGGTGAATTTTCTGACGATGTGTGATAAGGATACAGAACTCCAATGACATGGAAATGGAACTAATCCAATGGTTAACAAAGCACATGCTCAGTGCCTGTTTTTCTTTGATCCTTATGTTACCTTGTAGCAAGTGTTTTTACTGTATCATATATAAAAGTCAACTCTTTTTTTGTTTTTCTTTTCAAGCAGCTCTTCCAAATATTTAGTGAAAAAATTACCCTGGGTCTTGGGTCTCTTGTTATAATTTTTTTTTCCTTCCGCTTTTGGGGAAAAGCGATATATTTATTAAAGCGAATTCCTGTATTTCCTTATGGTACCGGCCTTCCATAAGATATAATAACCTTGTTTTTATTGATAATTTCTGCCTGCCTTTTCTTCAAATGTTAATTGCCTGGACAAAGGCTATGCCAAACACAAGGCCTTTGCCTACTTCTTAAACCTTGGTAAATGGCAGGATTGTAAAAAACAAATTGATAAGATTGAGGTTTCCTTATTTTACTAATTAACCCTTGTGGTGGAATATGGGCCACAAGATTTTTTATTTTTATTTTCAAAAGTTTGTATTATTCTGTAGCTTTTGTCAAAAAAAAAAAAAAAAAAAAAAAAAAAAAAAAAAAAAACTATTGGGAGCTGCTGAGTCTTTGTCCTTGTTACTCTAGCAATTTGAATGATATGCTTTTTTTGACGTTGTTTCATAGTGTCACACTTGCACCAATAAATTAATATGTCTCGTGCATTGTTGAGGCATTGAGGAGTTCCAGTGGCTTGCCAATCATATTATTGAATGGGTTCAGGGCTTGCTTCTAAGCCCTCTTTGAGATGCTCTTTATTTGATAGCTTATGGTATTGATACAATCAGTGCAGTTAATCCTGAAAATTTTCAATACCTAAACCTTTACGTCTCTTTTTGTAAACATATGCATTTAAATACGCATGCTCCTCAGCTTCTCCATCTAAATTCTCATACTTTTCAGGCTTTGTGTGGCCTGTATTTCATTTTTTATGTAAGAGAAATAATCCTTATTTTCTTTCGCCACTATTGTAGTATTGTGTTCCTTTTTTTTTTTTTTTTTTTCCTGAAGTCTAGTATGCATTATGAGCGGCAAACTTCTTGTTTATGTGATGAATTGTTCTATTCTGTTTCCAGGCTGCTGCTGCTACTCTCATCACTATTTGTCAGCAGATTGGTCCAGATTTAACTGCTTTGCATATCATACCTCAGCTGAAAGAGCTGTTTGATGAGCTTGCTTTTTCTCGTGAATCATCTAGTTCACCCCTCTCTCTGGGAAAAAGCTATAAGATCTCCAAACACAGCTCAGACAAGGAGGCAGAAATTGAAAGTCGCATGGATCTAGCGTGGGTGTTGAGCACTTCTCCATTCAACACTTGTGCTATTTTTAGATATTGGAATTGTGGTCTGCTTATCGTTGTTTTAAGAATTCCTTTGATGTCTGCAGGTTGCTTTTATATCCTTTTCTTGCAACTCTTCTCGGCATAGAGAGACTGCGGCAATGTTGTGCTACATGGCTTCTGCTTGAAAAATATCTCCTTAAGCATTATAACTGGAAGGTGGGGTTATTTTTTCCTTGTATGTTTGTATTTCCTTTGTCAAGTTGATACTGATTTCATGGTATACTTACATTCCGTTTCTCTAAATTCGTTATGATTTAGTGGGAATTTACAGGAGATTCATCTAGGAGCAGTTCAGGAAACTGTGATTCTAGAAAGGCCTTGATCAAAGAAAGCGTTAAGTCTAAGTACAATCCAACCAAACTGCTAATGAACGGAGTTGGATGGGCAGTACCACAATCTCAGGGAAGTAAAGGAAGCAATGATATGGTACTTCATAAACGCTTTTATGAAACTCATCAAAACTCAGCCGAAATTAACTCAGAAACATTTAAAGTTGGCAAATGTGAACCATGGTTCTGGTTCCCTACTCCTGCTACTACTTGGGAAGGGCCAGATTTTCTTGCCCGTGTCGGCACTTCAAAAGATGAGAGTCCGTGGAAGATTAAGGCATCAGTAATACACTCTGTCCGTGCTCATCATGGAGCATTGAGGTCTTTGGCTGTAGATCAAGATGAGTGTACTGTATTTACTGCAGGAGTAGGTCCTGGTTTTAAGGGAATGGTTCAAAGATGGGACTTGTCAACTGTTGATTGCGTGTCTGGTTACTATGGTCACGAGGAGGTTTGCTTCCTATCAAACTTTTGCGTCATTAGTAATTTTCCTGTATTTTTCATTGTTCTATTCAACAGCTCATTGGTAGAAAGTGATGCCCATCTTGATAACTTGAGAAGGATATATGATACATTCAAACAATGTTGATGTAGAATTTATATGTCTAGAATAACACATTCTGTGAAGCTCATATTTGGCGTTCTCTGGTCAGTGGAGAACTTGAGTATCAAATTTTGTCCATTGTCCTAGATTTATTTGATTAATCAAAATGAAAGAACTGATAACCGGGATAATGCGGCTTGCTTTTTTCTTTTTAAATGGTATATACGTTCCCTTGCTCACAATGAGAGCATAATTTTAAAGGATTTACATCAAACATGAACATCTTGGACAGACTTATCAGTTGTACAGAGTAGTTTAAGCTGTTTGACTGAATAAGAAACAAAGAAGGATTTGACAAAATCTCAAGCAATTTGGCTGACGATGTACCTGTAAATAAGAATATGCATGGTCTATACATGTAAAATAGAATTATGCATATTATTTTTGCCATTTTACACAGCTGGACTTGTGGATATATTAAGTAAATTTATAAGCATCAATAAGTGCAAGAGCTTAATCACATTGCAATTTTAAAATGTTCTTACAAGGCATCCGTAAGATCTATTTCAAGCTTGGAATCTTTCAGTTTGCCTTATTAGGAAGCAGTGAAACACTGGAATAATATCAGCACTTTTTCTTAGGATGTCATCCAAGAGAGTTATTGACTTATTGTTGTTGAATATTTTTTTGGTGTATTTTTTTTCTTTAATCATTGTCTTTCCTGCTCTTTCTTCCTTGTGTAAATTAAGGCGGGTATTCTTTATCTACTCTCTATACACTGTACGTGACTTGTCAGCTGTTTCACTGAAGCTTGATGAACTTGGATGTCTGATTGATATTTTTTACTTCCAGGTGGTGAATGACATATGTATCCTTCCTTACAGTGGGAGGGTGGCGTCTTGTGATGGGACCATACATGTTTGGAATAGCCAAACTGGAAAAGCAATAACACTAATTTCTGAATCATCTGCCACTATGACTCAAACTTCTGGACCTCCATCTTCCGCAATGAGGGTCAACACTGACCAAGCTAGTATGCTGAACTCATACCCACATTCTGGTGGAATTTTTACCAGCATTGATAGTACTTTGTATACCTGCATGCATTTCTTAGAATCTGTGGAAAAGCTTGTAGTTGGTACTGGAAATGGTTCTCTCAGGTATAGGGAAAGTGGAAGTAGTTTTCATCTTTACCAAATTTCTGGACTGATTACTTTTTCCTGGTTATTGAGAGTCTTTTGCTCATATGCAGATTCATTGATCCTGCTGTCGGTGAGAAGCTTCATATGTGGAACAGTGAATATGCAGATTATGGATTCCCTTCCCTTGTTTCTGCCATATGCTCTTGTGGTTCTGACAAAATGGAATATACTTCTTCTCACTCTTGGATTGCAGTGGGACTGGGTTCTGGTAATTGCAGGCTGCTTGATGCCAGAAGTGGCAATGTCATTGCCTCCTGGCGTGCTCATGATGGATATGTGACAAAGGTATTTCTTGGTAGAAAATATGTTTCTTTAGATTGCAAATTACTTATGTGAATGACTTATTCCTGCAGCTGGCTGCACCAGAGGATCATTATCTTGTTTCCAGCTCTCTGGACAAAACCTTACGAATCTGGGACCTCAGAAAGTAAGTCTTAAGTTGGGTGGTCTGTGTTGTATTACATTTAAGTGCTATGATGCCTTCACGTCGTTCATGATATATAATTAGCTGCACTTGCTTTATTTGCTTTTTTTGGGGGAGTTAGGCCGGTTGTACCTTTCTCTAATATAGGCTGCTCAATTTTATTTTATTTTATTTTATTTTTTTTAATCTTGGGCTTGTGTCATCTGTAAATTTTTCAACTGAGGTGAAAGTTGTATAAATATAACTTTGCTCATGAAATTATAATTACAATAAGTACCTAGGCACAAGAAGGAAATTATGCATCAAAATAAAGTCTACCAAACATATTTTTTAAAATCTTGTATTTCAATTCTTAGGAACTAATAATAGGACTACCAAATCTTCCTCTAGCTAAGACAGCAGTTCTCCTATGCTAGCACTTCAGTGTGAGATGAAATCATACCTTTTCAATTTGCTTCCCCTCCTCTTGTCACTCCGTTCTGCTCTCTACCTCTCTTTCCATTTTCATGGCTGATTCTGTAGGGTAAATGCTAAATGTTGTGTGATTAGGCTTTGCTTCTATCCTAAAAGAATCCAACTAGTTTTCAAATTGTACAAGCACTGCATGGTCAGCTCGCCTTGAAATGTTCATCTAAAAGCATTACCCTAGTTTTGTGGACATTTTAAGTGCTGCATTTTACTGAATAGCCGCTGATTTATTAATTGCTGGATTTGCTTTCTGTTTTGCAGGAGTTTGCCGCCACAATCCATTGTCTACAAAGGTCACAGTGATAGTATATTAGATTTTTCTGTTTGGGGCCAAGATATAGTTTCAATCGCCAAAAATAAAATTGGACTTTCCTCTCTGGCTGGAACTATGGATGAAGTAAGTACTAAAACTGTTTAATTATTGACATACTATACAGACTAAGGAATATATATTCAGAGTAGGAGACTGGACTGTAGGCTGTAATTTCCTTGTATGTATAATGTGTATACTGTATAGTGTATTAAACCCAGCTTGGTGAAGTTGGTGAGAAATTCACCTTGTGACTTTGAGGTCACAAGTTCTTCAAACCCCACCAACTACATTTGCTTGGGAGTAAGGGGTTCTCTTACCTCCCCCCTCTACTGTCTCAAGCATTGACCAATGTAGCTGAGTTGGTTTAACTTGTGAGAGATGGCTGGTTCAATAGGGTCCTTAGCAAAAATAAAATAGTGTAATTCAATTGTTGTATTTTTCTTTTCTGCAGTATGGCCAGCATCGTATTGTTCGTCAGGCTCTACATACAGCAGACCGAGGGTTCCAAAACATGTCTGTGTTGTCGAGCATAGCTATTCTTCCATTTTCACGACTTTTTCTCGTCGGAACAGAGGATGGTCAGCTGAAAATCTGTTCTTGAATTGCTGTTTATGACACAGCTAGTTTTACACAATCATTGACTTAGATTCATTGAGGATGAATACACCATGAACGACACACGGGATAGGAATTTGTAAATTTACACCTACAGCGAAGTTTGCATAATTCTTTTCAATTATTATTTTTTTGTATAGCTTATATCATACATTTGTTTGTTGTTTCCCTCTCCATTTTGTTGTTTTGTGAGTTTTTAGGGGTGGGAGAATGGGGTAGATGGTTTTTGTTTCATCAACATTGTTGGTGTGTTTTAGTTTATTATTTTTATACTTTAGAGGAAATTTACTGTGACACGTGTATCCTTACTTTTTTATCTACTGTATAATTTGTAATCTAATTATTTCATTCTTACATCTAATAAAAATTTAAACTGTCTTTATGTTAAGATTTGCTTTAAGTTGTCTGCATGATACTCGAGTTTCCTCCCTAAACCTGTGAATGCAGAGATGAACATATTCCTTAGCTGCTCTGTCTGAATTAGCGTAACCACCCTGGGGTGGAGGTTTCTCGTTGCATAGACCTAGGCGTGTGAAGAACCTCACTGGGTCCACCGATTGCGGTTGAAGAAAATCTCCAATGTTCATTTTCTATCCTCTCAAAAACACACTTTGCCTTTATTTTTCACTAGGTTCACAGTCTTCTTACCACATCTCCTGCACTGTGACTCCTTCAATCTCTGGAGTTTGATCTTTTAACAGAATAAACGCATACTTTGTTCAAGGTAAATATATCATTACTTGCCTTTTAACAGCATCCTTTGTTCTAGGTGATATGTTATCACTTGCCGTATCACCATCCTTTATTCTCCCCTTGTCTTTAAATAGTCTGAAACATAGTTACTAACTGAAACACTGTTTTCTGCACTGAAATATCCCTGTAAGTACATTCTCGAAAAACCATGCAAAATGATAATAATTACGCTTAATACATAGAGCATAACACTCAACTATGCACAATGTAAGAACTTGACCAACTAATTCCTACACTACCCCATTTTACTAACAATTGTCAAAATCTACCTATTAATATAAAGACCATATATGTCATCTTGCTCTTCTTCAAGAAACAAAACTGCAAGGTCGTTCAACAACTGTAGAAGATACACCACTAGGAGTACTAGCTTCCAGAAGTGTGTAGGCTTCATTACTTCATCTGTTCAACCTCATAGGCATTTTCTGCATGATTGAAGGACCTCCTGCATCGCTGCAGTGACTGAAGAGATTTTTTTTTATGGTCATGAAAACAGGATGACAACAGAAGGAATTCCTTTACTTGGGAAGTATTGCAAAGGCCAAAACCACATTTTGCAAATCAATCATATACAGTCATCAATCAGACATCACCCATGGTGTCCATCACTTCACTCGAGTCAGTGACCATCTTCTCTTTTTCCTGCTCCAAGTCATATATCTTGTCGCTCATACCTTCCTTCCTGTAAGCCTCTATCATGACAGTGAAAGTATCGTCATCCGGCTGGCAGTGTTTCTCCTTCATCCTCTTATAAACCCTCTCCATTTCCATTAAATCCTCAGCCTTTGCACATGCAAAAATAACAGCATTGAAAAACGATGTATTTTCTGGTATTTCCAGTCTTCCAGCCAACTGAGCAGTACTCACAACTTTATGAAAGACACCTGCATTGGCATATCCCCGAACAAGACAACAGATGGTCTTAGTGTCTGCTTTCATGCCCTCAGCACGCATTTGATCGAATGCAAATTCCATATTTTTCATATCCCCTACATCAGAAAATGCCTCAATCACATTATTGTAAGTGGAAGTAGTCCAAGGGAATTCAAGCTTGCGCATGTATTCCATCACCGTAGACATTTTATCATACATGCGCTTCTTCCCATAAGCACCAATTAGGATGTTGAAAGTCCTAGTTTCTGGTTCAATCCCAAAATCCCTAAACTTCTCGTACCACCTTTCCATCATCTCAATTTGACCCATATTTCCAAACAAGGCAATTATAGTGTTCATAGTCCACACATCAGGTTTGCAAGTGGGATTATGAAGCATTTCAGACAAAATCTTCTCCATTAGGTCATATCTCCCAGCTTTACCATACCCACCGAGTATAATGTTCTGAGTGACTGTATTGGGAGTAATTCCTCGGTCATTCATCTCCTTATAGAGGGACTCAACTAAATCAAATTCAGTAGCATCAATACAAGCCTTAATCAAAGTACTGTAAGTGAAAACATCAGGCTGACAGAGAGGAAGCTCCTTCATCTTATTAAGAATCGCAAATGCTTCATCAATCAAGAAACTGCGGCAATAAGCAGCAAGCAAGGCAGTATATAGCTCAACTGTAGGTTCTAGCCCTTCCTCTATCATAGTATCAAAAAGTTCCTGGGCTCGTCGCGGTTGTCCTGATTTTCCAAGCAGCACAAGGAGTTTCATGTAAGTTCCTTCTTTTGGTTGATAGAATGATTGTTCTCTCAGCATCTCAAACACCTAATCCAAATCCAAAATTCAAACCACCACTATAAATTTCCATTTACAAATATGATATCATTCCTTTCCTATTGCTCATCAATAACAATCATTCATGCAGCACAATTATAAAACAATTCAACCAAAAAAGTTAAAAAATCAACTAGACTTCTTCTTAGTTACAATACTAATACACATTACTCAAATCAAAATTCAAGCAATAAGCATTGATAAACACAATGTTAACTGTCAAATGTGAAGCTAAAGTGACAAATAGAGTATTCCGGTCGGGTCATGTCAGGTCAATTAACTAATTAGTCATGTGGGGTTATTTCAAGTCGGGTCAGTTTTTAACACCTCTAATTACTCGTGCTCGAAAGTCAGAAAAGCAGTAAAAGTAGAGGAGAGAAAAGAACCTGAAGAGCTTGAAGCCATTGTTTCTTAAGGATAAGGTCAGAAAGAGCTTCAGTAACAGTATTAACCCAAGCCTTAGCTTTAGCCTTACGATCAAGCCTCTTCTTGACATTCTTAATCTGGGTTCTTCTCTTTGGAATTGAACCCTGAGAAATTGCTGGGAATTCCCCTTCTCTCCAAATTTTCTTCTTGTTTTTGGGTTCGGATAATCTTGAGTTGCGAGAAGTAGAAGAAGCAATTGCACAGCGGATTATTGTTGGGTATTTGGTTGATAAGTTAGTGGGGTAAATGGGTTTTTGTTGAGGATGTAAAGGAGTGAGAATGAGGGAAGATATTGAGGAGAGAGAAGTTGTCGCCATTGCTGCTCTTGTACAAATGTACAATGTTAAATTCTTTTCCTTTGTGGATTTTAGTATTTTTATGGGATGGTAATGCTCGGCTAGTCGGGGGTTGATTGTTCGATTTGACTCGACTCAACTGAACTCGAGATAGTTGGGTTTCAAAGATTAGAATTATCATATATTTATATGAATTTGTTATTTGGGAATTTAAAATATTTTATCATTTTTTTTTGATAATTAGGGTACATTTGGCAAAATTAATTGTTATAATAGCTAGCGAGGGAGCTCCAGTCAATCTTCATGATAAACAAAAAGTATTTATTTAGTGACATTTTTGTAGTGGTTATTAAAAGTTGTTATTTGATGAAGGTGTTCAACACCATTAATTGTTGAAATAGTAATACAAAATTTAATAGGAAAAATTGCCCGCAATAATCCGACCTTTTGCCCGTCCGCTGAAAATAATCCCACCTTTGGATTATTTTTTAATAATCTCACCTTTATCCCCCGATCTTTTTTATTGGTCTCAACCGGTTAGTTAACTTGTTATAGCAAGTTACTAGCCACGTGTTGGCACCCAATTAGTCAAAAAAATAAAATTAAAAAAAAATAAAAAAAAAACAATTAATTAATTTAGAATCCACCCAAACCACCTCCCCTGCCACCAATCCGGCGCGCTGGCCTCCCCTGCCACCAATCCCGGCGCGCTGGCCTCCCCTGCCACCCCTCCCTTGAACCACAATCGAACCCCCTTCCCTGAACCACCCTCGAACCCCTCCCTCCCTCACGAACCTCCACATGAACCACCCTCGAATCCTCACAAAACCAAGCCAACCCCCAACCGGCCAACCCCATTCACGCGGCTCCGGCTTACCCTCCCCTCCCATGAACCACCAATCCTCTCCCTCACTCTTACCCCCGTGAAAACCCAGCCCTTAAACCCAGGCTCCGTCCGCGAAAAACCCACCAACTCCCTTAAACCCAGCTCCGACGCGCCGACTTCCCCCATCCCCAGATTCTGGTCGCGTCGCGTCTCCCCCGTCCACCGTTTCCAGCCGCGTCGTCGTCGTCGTCCACAGAGGAGGGGTTGGGTTAAATGGTTAATGTGGTTAAGGGGTTGGGTACTTGGGTTAATGGGTAATTGGGTTTAGGTTGGCTTGGCTCGGTGGGATTCCGGTCAGCTTGGTGGTTTCAGGTGTGGGTGGGATAGTGGTTCTAGGGTTTAGGTTGGGTGGTGGTGGCTGAATTGGGGTGGCTTAGGTGGCGGTGGTGGTTTTTTACTACTTTTTTATTTTTATTTTTTTGATTAATCAAGGAGCAACACGTGTAAATTCTACTTAAAAAAAAAAATACCTGCTCAACCGGTTCCAAGTAAAATGGGACCATTTATAGCGGAATGGGTATAAAGGTGGGATTATTAAAAAATAATCCAAAGGTGGGATTATTTTCAGCGGACGGGCAAAAGGTCGGATTATTCCGGGCAATTTTTCCAATTTAATATTATTATTTTAAAGTCAATTTGGTAGCTTTTGACAAACACCACTCTAATTTAGTTTTTGTGAAACACTACCTTTAAAGCTAAAAACTATCATCTATTCATCTAGCACTACTTTGTGGAATGATATTATATGAGTTTAAGTAGTGATTTGGCTTAGTCAAAAAAATATAACTACTCCAAAAATTGTTAAACACGCATTAGGCATAACAAAACGAGATGTCAATGATACATTGTGTCATAAGTTTCTATGATGTTTCACTTAACTTTTCTTCAGTTTTTGTAGGATTGGTTAGCCTTTTAAGTTCATGTGTAATTTGGTATATTTTTAATTATTGGTTTTGGTTTCTTATTTTTATGTATATTCAATTAACTTTTCATGGCCTTTTGAAACTTCCAACTTTGTTAGTTTTAATTAATCAAGTTCAAATCAGAACAATGTACATCCTGGTTCAATTCTAACGAGAACAATGATACAAAAACTTTTGAAAAATTTAGCTATAGTTTTGAGACGTTGAATCAGTGCTATCAGTGGCAATGGTTGAAGTGAGGGAGAACATGGAGAGAGTTAATGGGAGAATGTTTAAGGTGGGATATGTTGCAATTGAGGCTTAAACTCATTTTCTCCAATTTTGTATGCCATTTCCATGATCATAATCCCAGCCAACACCAAGCTCAAAGCTTGTATTGATCTCTTCAATCAACTAAAACGATTTTGAACCAACACATCAACAATTACAGCAAGCTTCTCAGCCTCGTCTCTTCTCTTTTCTACAAAAATCATTCAGTCTGAAATTCTGAATCAACCATCTCCTAATCAACTGAACCAACAAAATAACTAAAGCAAGATCCAAAGAGCTATTACGACTAGGCAACAGTTCATTTATGAATAATTGTCTTTTACATTACACCTTTTGGTTAATTAGACGTTTGAATTCTATCTTCACTTTATAAATACAGAGCGAAAGATAAGATTAAATGTACAAGGAGTGTAATGCTCATACAAGAATATATCTGAACAAACTACTAATTAGTCAGCTACACCCTCTTCTTTAGAAACAGGCAGTCCCCCAGTCCAAACATTTTTCACAAACCTCTTAACAATATACAGCCGAATGTAAGTAAACTACACTGCTCCATATTTCAGTGTGTCCCACCTGAATGGCAAGAAGACATAACAAACTCGAGGCATACTCTTGAAAAACAGAGCTGTACAAACACAAACTACAGCAATGGTAACTAGAGACATCACTACTGGCCTACATGTTAGTGATGTTCCTCTGAATCCATAATTTGGCCTCTGCACGCAAAGTTTGCAGTTTTGACTGATTTGCCGCTTCTCAGTGTATAAGCTATTGAACTTTGCAGATTTGAGTTCATCAGACTGCTTTTGCTTGGAATTTAAGTTCGAGAGTCCAAGGATATCCACAACTACATGTTTGCCAGATGAAATTTTGTTAACTTTACTCTGGAATAGAACAATGTAATGGTTATGACCTCTAAGGTAAGCATAATCTTTTGGGGTCAATCCTGTGCTGTCTCGAGCATTTTCCCAAGCTCTAATACCAACCTAAACAAGAGAAACATATTAGAGTCTAGAATGATCATTAGTAAACACAATCACTATTTAATAACCCACAAAAGCACACAGCTTATTTGGTATTTAGAATGGTGATGAAATTAGAGCAATTCTTACATGCAATATCCATTTATCGAGTGATCAAGGTAGAGAGATTGTTGTATACACCCGGGTGTACGGTCTACGGTGCACCCAAGGGTATTTGTTTGCTCATTTGATGATATAATGAGAACTAATTGTCGAAATGAGCAAACAATACTCTTGGGTGCACCGTGCACCCGGGTGCAAAATAATTTCTAATCAAGGCAATTTCGATAATAGTACAACACTTCCAACTAACATATACTTTCATTTCCGCTCATACTCACATCTATAGATGGTAACACATAATGATAATAACGAAAGAATGAATGAAGAGAAGGTAAAATAATGGTAATTCACAAAATCACATGAGAACTTCATTACCAATTCCTTAATTTATTACCTAATAATAAAGAGCTTTCTCAATATACTTAGAATTATTGTGAATAAATCAAAGCAAGCATCAATAATTTCATTACCATTCCAGGATCTTCAAGCAAGGCATCCAACATATTCTCGAAACCAGCACAACTGGCAGCTAAGTGCAAAGGGGTCAACCCATTGGAACCAGTGACATCAGGTCTAAATAAGAAGCTGCTGGGTGATTCATCTGAGACTTTTGTATTCTTAGCTTTTCTGGGTATGTATCTTAACAAAAATTCCACCATTGACCTGCTATTTCTTTGGACGGCAGTGTGAAGGAGAGGCATCTCTGACAATGCATTTTCAACAGAAGCATGATGTCCAGTATCTACAATTCCACTGAACAGCAAATCCAGGAGTTTTCTTAAAACAGCACACCAATCATGGTCCACTGAAAAATCTATTAGCCACTTTAGTCGTACAAAAGAGAAGAGGTCCAACTGGATATTAGTTTGGCCTGACATTGAGCTTACACGGTTCGTATGCAGCAGCCAACCCATCTCATGTATAAACTCTAAGGCAACATTCCTTCTATCAATACCCTCATCTGTACCGACAATCTCCATTACTCTTTCAAGCATGCAAATCTCAGAACAAATTTCAGGCTCTGCAACAATGAATGGAAAGAAGCAACCACTGAGGCCATAATCTTCCACCTGCATGAAAATAATTACCAGAAGTATCTCAGGGGACATAAAGTAACAGGCTAATCCAGACACATTGAGCAGATTAATTTTAATTTCTAATAATCTGAATTACCAAGTAGAAACTGAGTGTACCTAAGTACATATCTGAAGTCTTAAACACATGGCTCAAAATTCAGGGTAAGAATACTTTTTCTTAAAACTGGATATACGAGGGAAACACATCCTTCATGTCACTTTTTATTAAATTCCAAATCCTAGAATCTTTGGCAAGCACCTTTTCATGTAATTTTTAATGCCGAAACAAACACAATTATGTAAGATTCTTTCACTTGTTTGCTAATGAGTTAAGAGTATACATAATTTTGATCTCAAATCAAAGCAAGCATATCATGCACATATCTTTATATCCCCTGTCCCACTTTCTTTATTTGTTTTTCTACCATTTCAGGGTACAAGATAACATCAAATTAAACTGTAAAGAAGTGCAATATATGGATTCGACACCCATATCCAAGTGCGTATCCAACACTTGTACTTGTGATAAAATGAAGTAAGGGTTAAGTAGCCTATTGATAGACCATAATGCCAACATACAACCAGAACCAACCAACTCACTAAAGACCAGAACTAAAATAACATTCGTGTCAGCACCAATTACTAATTTCAAGTAGGAAAGCTTCAAACGTTGCAGCCATCAGATTGGATCGCAAGATATTAAAAGAAAACTTTAAACCAAAATTTTATTTGGACACCGAAAGAACTAGATAACAATACATTCCTACATATTGTGAAAAGATATGATAGTAGAATGTATTAGTAGTTTGTATCCATCATTAATGCATAAGAAATTAGTTTACACAAGATTGAGACACCGGAAGGAAAGCAACGACTGAGCAATCAACCAAGAAGCATGAGATAGCATTACCTCAATAAATCCTCTCCCAACAACATCTGGTATAGAGCAATGAAAGCTAAGAGACTGAACCTCATCCTGCTCGGCAGCAGTACTATCTACCAAGCTATAACAGCAGCTATCTTGGACCAGATACTTCCCTTCTATAGCACAAAGTAACCTATACATAGTAAATTGAGGTATACAAAGTTATCAACTGCTAGCCAAAGTCTCAAATGTAAGCCTCAAATATTTTACAGAAATTACAAATAAATAAATAAATTAATTAAAAATGTAATTAATGTATGTATTCCAGAAGGAAAGATAACAATCAGAAGTTAACTTTCAAAAATGACAACTGAAGTAGCTTACATGAACATGATGGTTAAAGTACCTAGAAGTTGGCCCAGAGAGATTAGAACCCTTAACAACTAACTGCACTGTCTGAGCAGCAGGAACCGCAATGGGACTGATGCTTGAAATTCGACTGTCCCGGCTTTTGAAAGGTAGAGGAGTATCTAGAACAACCCGACCTTCAGCACAAGAAAAAAGAGCTGAATTAACAAGGGTAAAAAAGAATACTGACAGCTATATGACCCTTAAAAACAGATCATGATACTCTAAGTGATGAATCTGGTAATAAACTAATGTATGATATTTCAAACATTAATCTAATATAAATATATATATATATATAGTAAAAAAAAAAACTGGTGAGGCGGTGTGAAAACCAACCGTCACAAATAAATGCTGCACTTTGCTGCACTCTGGTATAGATCCATCCTGTCTTCCAAAATGGATCATCAGACAGACTCAGGAGCCTACTCAAACTGGAGCTCATGTCATAGCAGAGCTGAAAGAATAATAGAAAAAAAAAGTCTCAGCATGTAGCCTTCGCAGAATAGGAAAACAACCAAGTCAAGGATAAGAAGAAAACCTCTTCCCATAAGGACTTGTTCAAACGAAGATATATTGTCAAAACAATGCAACCAGGCCTGATGTACCCTTCAATGTCCGAAGGTTTGTGGGACAACCAATCAAGAATCTGGAATGCACAACCTCAACATTTTGAGCACGAGACAATTGATCAAACAATGGCCTAATCATAATAAGGGAGGAATACCATTACCTGTGTTCGCAATTGATGAGGCAAGTCATCTGGATCCTTACCAAAAAGCTTGAAAACAATCCGATCAGTTCGGCCCTAAAAAGTTTTAGAATAATAAGGACAAAAGAAAAGACAAAGTGACAGAAACAAGAATGACAAAAGGTCCAAGCATGTTTTCTGAATGGCCAAAGATATTCCTAACGGGTGGAACCAGACATTGCCAGCTGAATCATGTATAGCACTATAGCCCACCCCCTTCTCTCAGTACAAGAATGTAGTATGAGAAATACCCTCCAACACAAAACCTTGAAATGTTGATGAT